TATTCTATTGCTGACTTCATGGTGGAGATTTTGGAAACTGATTTCGCGGTGGAGATTTTGTCGGAGATTTCGTAGGGATTTCGCAAGTGTTGCAGTGGACTTGACGATAGAGATTACAACGATCGTGTAGGTGTTACAGAGCGTAGGTTTTTCAATGGAGTTGTATCAGGTATGGTTTCGATAGAGATTCCACATGAATTTTTGATTTTTGTTTTGAATTTTATGTAAGGATTCCGATTTGATATTAGTTTTTCGAGTGTATTTTTGCATTAGGTTTTTGTTTTCAGTTTTGATCAATTTAAAAAAGAGGCTAGCTCAGTGAAGTTGTTTATGATTTTTGGAGTTGATTTTTCATTTGTTGTTATTAATCAATTTTAGACAAAGGCCAGCTTGATAGAGTTGATTTTTATTTTTGGAATTAATTTTTCATTCTCTGTTTTTTGATCAATTTCAAAGAGTGTTGACAGTGTAGTTGATTTTGATGTTTAGAGTTCATTTTTCATGCCCTGTTTTTCATCAACATGCTGATCAGAGTTCATTTTGCGTGCTCTATTTTTCATCAACATGATAAGTTTTGTTATCTATTTTTTCAAACCCGAGAAGTTTGTTTAAACCAGAGAAATTTCATTCTCTGCACTTTTGTTGGTATAGTCCAGAGAAAATTGTAAGTTTGTTATTATAATCCAACGAAAATGACAGAGAAAATTATAAGTTCATATGGACATATTATTAGAAGTTTCTAATGCAGAAAGAATCTGAGAAAGTGAATGTAAGTTCTTAAATTTCTCTGGACTTTTATTTGTAGTTGAGAGAAAATTATAAATTTGTTATTCACTTTCAGTTTGTAATTCAGAGAAAATTATAAGTTTGTAAAAAATGAATATAAGTTTTTGTTTCTCTGAGCAAAAGTTTTTTTTTTTTTGTTTTTGTTTTTTCTTTCAGTTTAGATGGGCAGTGCAGTGTTTTTTTGTTATCTTGAAAGTGTATATGAGTTTGTAAATTTCTCTGGATTTTGATATGAGTGTAATATTGCAGAATGACGCAAAGAAAATTATAAGCTTGTACTTCAGTGAAAATTACAGAAAAGCTTATAATTTTATAACAAATCTTCTGTGTGATTTTTGTCTATGATTGTGTTTAATAGTTAGCAATAAATTTCTCTATGATTCTCTCTGGATTCATTAATTTCTCTGTGATTTTGTTTTTGTTATCTTGAAGGTGAATATAAGTTTGTAAATGTCTCTGGACTTTTATTTGAGTCCAGAGAAAATTATAAGCTTGTTGTTATAATTCAGAGAAAATTATAATTATTAGAAATTTCTCTTGACTTTTATGTTGTTCTTGTGAAGTGTTTTTACGTTAAACAAATTATTTTTCTTGTTTTTTTTTCCAGTTTCGATGGACAGTGCAGTGTTGTTGCTGTGCAAATATGGGAATGATACTATTATCATTAATGTTTCATGCGAATTGAATTTTGAGGAATTGGTTGGCATTTTGTGTAAAACATAGGACAATTTGAGACCTGAGACGATGTATATTTCATATTCTATTGTGGGCCATTCGAATTGTATGGTTCAAAATGATATTGATTTTCTGAATATGTTGAGGGTTGTTTATGTACGTGGTGTTGATATAGTTGATGTTTCAGTTACTAGGTGTAATACTTCTGATCAATAGGATGAAGTGGGATCTAATTGGGTAGATTTTGTGCATGGTGAATGTGATAGGCTAGTGGATATTGAAAGGAATTCACTCTCTAAGTTTTGTTCTCACCAAGAAAAAGTGTTATTATCAGCTGGTTGGAGAAATATTATTACGAGTGTTGGACAAAAGTTTGAGGGTGGTGTGGTTGAGTTCCGTACTGTTTTATGCAAGTATGCTATTGAAGTTGGCTTTCAGTTTACGTATGTTAAAAATAACAAGCTGAGGGTTACGACAGAATGTGCATATAAGGAATCAAGGGGATGTATGTGGCGTGTACATGCTTCAGTTGAAAAAACAAATGGGTTCTTTTACATAAGAACTTTGAACAATGAACATACGTGTGGTGTGTTCGTACTAGTAAACATGATAGGATGACTTCCAGCTTAGTTTCTGGGCTGATACTTGAAGAGGTAAGTGCAAAACATTTAACTCGTCCAGTGGATGTTATCAAAGAAATGAAAGACAAGTATGGGGTCTCAATCAGTTATAACTGTGGTTGGTTGGAGGTTGAAAAAGCAAAATATAGTACATATGGGGATTCTTGTTTGTCATTCGATCAATTATGGTGGTATTTTGATGAGGCATTGAAAAACAATCCAGGTAGTAGTTTTGAGTTAGATTTTGACGATAACAAGCGTTTCAAAAGAGTGTTTGTGGCTTTTCATGCATGCATTGCTGGTTTCAAATATTGTCAGTCACTGCTGTTTGTTAATGGAACATTTTTGAAAGGACAATACAAAGGGGTTATGTTTGCCGCGACGGGGAAAGATGGGAATGAAGGTAATTGTAAATATATCTTATTTTATCTAAATATGTGAATTTTCTATACATGTAAGAATTGAGTGAATGTGATTTCTCTCAAACACTTTGAATTTTCTTTGGTTTTGGCCACTGTGTGAATTTTCTCTGGTTGTGACCAGTGTGAATTTTCTCTGGATTTTGGTCAGTGTGTGAATTTTCTCTAGATGTTGTCATTGTGTGAATTTTATCTATAGTTGGTCACTAAGTGAATTTTCTCTGGATATTGTCACTAAGTGAATTTTCTCTAGATGTTGCCAATGTGTGAATTTTATTTGTAGTTGGTCAGTATTGAATTTTCTCTGGAGTTTGTCACTAAGTGAATTTTCTCTGGAGGTTGCCATTGTGTGAATTTTCTCTTGATGTTGGCAGTGTCAAATTTCTCTGGTTGTTTATTGTTCTAATCTTCTCTACATGTGTATATCTAATATGTTAGTTCCTATTTGTTTTGTAGGTTTTTTTCCTATAGCTTTTGCTGTTGTTGATGCTAATATGCTTGTTCCTATTTGTTTTGTAGGTTTTTTTCCTGTAGCTTTTGCTGTTGTTGATGCTGAGAATAAAGATAGTTGGTGTTGGTTTCTTGAACATTTATATGGAGTTTTAGGATCAGAAAGGGTGATAAGTTTTATATCAGATCGACATTGTGGTATTGTGGAAGGAATTGCTAGGTTTTTCCCTAATTGCTTTCATGGATTTTGTCTTGAACATCTAAAGAGAAATTTGAGGGATAAGTTGTTATGTGGAAACACAAATTTGGTTAGGGAGACGATTGTGTCCAAATTTTCAGAGTGTGCATATGCGCCAACAAATTCATCATTTCATTTCAAGTTAAATGAATTAAAAAGTGAGGGAGGAGACATTGTGAGTGTTTTCTTGAGAAGTTTACCATATGAAAATTGGAGTGATTCATATTTTGAGGGGAAACGTTATGGTGAGATGTATTCAAATATTGCTGAGTCATTCAATTCATGGATACGAGACGCTCGGCACTTGCCAATAACAAATTTTGTGGACTTGATACGGTTGCAAATCATGAATATGAGGTCTAATAGAAGGCTGCTCTCTAGTAAATGGAATAAAGTTCTCTGTCCCCTTATGGATAATGTATTGGAAAAGGCTTTCTTGGATGGGAGGACATGGAATGTGAGTTTATCATCTGATAATGTCTTTGAAGTGCATTGTTTTCCTTCGGTTATGGTTGATCTTGGGTTGAGAACTTGTTCATGTCGAAAATGGGAAATAAATGGGTATCCATGTCAACATGCTGTTACTGCAATTTTTAGGAGTAGAAAGAATTTGAATTCATTTGTTGAACTATTTTTTCATGCTGATATGGATCGTCAAGCATACTCGTTTTCGATTGGCCCAGTTCCAACTATTGAAAAACCTGTGTGTAGCATTGATGATGCTATGATTTTACCTCCATTGAATAAGAGACCAGCTGGGAGGCCAAAAAAGAGCAGAATTACTTCTACTGGAGAGTTTAAAAGAGTAATTAAGTATAGTCGTTGTGAGAGTATTGGTCGCCATAATAAGAGGACATGCAAGGAACCTTTGTTAAATAGTTGATGATAACACATTTTATTGATTGAATAATACATTTGATGATTACTTTGTGTATTTTGTTTTGTGAAATGTATTTTTTGGACAGTGTATATAATAACACCTATCAAATTCATCTAGAGAAATTTTCCAATAGCAGTGAAAGCGTGCATTGTGTTTGTTGATACATACTATAGGCAGTGTGTTTATAATACCAGTCAAATTCATCTAGAGAAATTTGTCTATGGCAGAGAAAATTCTTTGTGCATTGTGTTTTGAAGTTTCAAATTCATCGAAAGAAATTTTCCAATAGCAGAGAAAATTACTGTGTGCATTGTGTTTTTAAAATTTGATGATTCTTTTATACCAACACAGTACATTACAGATTGTATGATCATATAGGCACCTTCTTTGGAACGATACGAGTTAAATTTCTTTGTGAATTTCTGATAATTTCATACCAGTCAAATTTATCCATAGAAATTTGCTAATAAAAGAGAAATTTACTATGGGCATTATGTTTGTTGAAATGAGCATTGTGTTTTGTGAGGTCCAATTCATCCAGAGAAATTTGCCAATAGCATTGAAAATTACAATGTGCATTGTGTTTGTTGAAACATACTATGGGCATTGTCTTTATAATACCAGTCAATTTCATCTAGACAAATTTGCCACTAGCAGAGAAAATTATCTGTGCATTGTGTTTTGAAGCTTCGAATTCATCCAGTGAAATTTGCCAGTAGCAGAGAAAATTACTGTTTGCTTTGTGTTTTCTGAATTTAATGATTGTTTTGTACCAACACATAGCATTATAGATTACATAGTCATATAGGCATCATACCAGAGAAATTTATGCTATTGGCAAAATACAAGTTAAATTTCTCTGTAAATTTCTGTTAACATCATACCAGAGAAATTTCTGCAGACAATTTTCCCTGTGTGGATTGTGTTGACAATCACAATAAAAAATATATATATTTAACCACTGATAGCTATGAAATTTACATTAGTCAAAAAAAGATATATACATATATGTCAAACATCATCATTCCTTTAATGTATGAAAAAACAAATTGAATGGTTAACCTAATTACATTGTGTACATTGTTTTCCTTTCACTAGTGTGCTTTCACTATTATACTTTTGGTTCTTCTTCTGGTGGTATTTGAATTGGTTATGTCCATAACCGGCCGACTTCGGTCACAAATCTCTCTATGATTTCTGCCCTCATCAACCTTACGTCTTGTGTGGACAATTTAGAGCTGATAGGTTCATGGTTGCTATATTGTCTCATTATGTAGCATACAAAGACGCCACAATCCAGACTGCATACAAATTATAGGTATAGTTAGTTTTAAAAAACATTCAAATTAGATTATCTTATTTATAGATGTTGTATGAAACTTACGAATCACTGTCTTGTTGTGGAGCATTGTTGACATATTCAAAGTCATAATTTGTGTTTTGTGAGTCCATCAATTTGAAAGAGGGTTGTGATTATGCCTCTCTTTCAAGGTAAGCTTTCAAAAAATTCTCCACATAATCTTGCTGTAAAAAAATAATTTTTAAATAATAAAGAAATTTACAGACAAATCAATGGGATTCTATGAAAATTACCATCACATAAACATTATGATGCATCAAAGAAATTTGAACTCGTTACCAATTGTTTTGCATCTTTGATATATTTTTCTTGTGCATCATCCCTCATTGGCCTTAGCGAGTTGTAGAACCTCCATAAATTGTCTTGTTTGTCCAAGACTAGCAAGGTCCAGTGATTTCCATCTGTTGACTTCTTATTACCCCCAGTAGTTATTGGGAAATGAAGGAACTTGTAGTTCCTCCATGCTGTTTCAAGATGCTTGTCAAATAATGAGACTCGGAAAGTTTGATTTTCCGTCATCTTGATGAAGTTTTGCGGTCAGAGAAAATCAAAAAATGATTATGTTATGAGAAAGTTGAAATGACAAGAATTTAAGAAATATACACACAAAAAAATTTTAAATGCACACAACTAGCCAGAGAAAATTAGACCAGGGACACAACTGGCTTCAAGAAGTATCTTAATAAGAGAAAGTAGTAAATAAATTCCAAAGAAAATCAAATAAAAGTGTAGTAACATACTAAGCTCATGGATGTGAAAAAATATGAAGTTGGTTGTTGTCGTTTTCTCCTTTAGTCAGCAAATAGGATCTCTCCATAGCCATCAATGACCTGAAAAATATCATTTATAATTGCAACATTGGTTTATAAAGGCTAATGGAATATTGCAGAGAAATTTTGATGAAAGACTTACATTGTTGGCAATTTCTTTTTTCTTTATTAGGTTTCCAATATCTTCAAAGGTAATGAAATTCAACTCACTTGTCCAGATTAAAGCCCTACAAGATGACAAAGAAGGGATTTAATAGTTGTTAATGCAATATAAGTTAGTAAATTGTTGTTTGTTATCTTCTTTTTTATTTGTTGTACTTACTCGAGTCTAGACACATTTGATATGTGCTGCAAAACATCTTTGATATGTTCTTTTACCAATTTTGCAACTGGTAAACTTTGAGGAAAAACTCAAGATTTTCTGACACTTGTTAGTTGAGGCAAGACATACTCATTAGCATCAAGTATTTCTTTGTTTTTGCTAGTTTGCTCTATTTGCTTTGCAGCTTGCTTTAAACCTCTAGTCACCTTCACAACTTTGGAATATTAAAAGTCTGGATCTTACTTTTCTTTCCTTTCTTTTACCTTTAAGTTCTTTATCATTAATGTAGGATCTTTTTTCACTGCAGACAATAAAAATATCTGTAAAAGTTAAATTTATCTGAAGTAATAGATCATATTTCAATATGTAAATTTATTTGATTCAATATTTTCAACCTCCAACATCCTTAGTTTCATTTGGATTGTGTTGTCTCTTTCTTGAAGTTCTGAGTTATGTGATGTCAAGGTTCTTATTGCAATATCCTTTTCTGCAAGTAATTCATTCCAATTTCTCTCTTCTTCTATTTTAGATTTAGAAAGTGCCTTTAGGCTTTGATAGAGATCAGCAATTTTGGCATCCTTTGATTCCTCATATTCTTGAGGCTAATACATTATTGAGCCACATATGCTATCATGATGTTGGTCTATCGGCTCATTATGTTCTTCTTCATCACTTTTCTCATTGTTTTCTTCTTGCTATTTAGATTGAGTGCCTTCATCTTCTTCTTCACTGTCTTCTTCTTCTGTTCATTTTCTTCTTTGTCTTCTACTTCTATTTCTTCACTTTCTTCTCTGGCTTCCGCTTCTCCACTGCTTGCTTGATCTTCTTGTCCATTGCTGGCTTCGTGTTCTTCTATGTTGCCTTCTCCTTCCTCATTCCCTGGTTCTTCAGATGAATCTTCTAATGTCTCCTTGAATTTGACAATTGCTTTTTTTGATTCTTTCTTCTTCTTTTTACCAAGACAAAACTCCTCTGATGGGTTTTTAACTAGCTCATTGTTATCTATCTGTAGCAGGAGGCTAATTTATTAGAGAAATGTTACCAAATTCACTAAGAGAAAAAATTCAAATAAGGAAAATAAAATTCATCTAAATGATACTAATGGGAAACAAACTTCAGAGAAAATTGAATGGTTCACTAAGAGAAAAAATTCAAATAAGGAAAATAAAATTCATCTAAATGATACTAATGGGAAACAAACTTCAGAGAAAATTGAATGGGCCAAAGAAAATTTCAGACAAGGAGTTAATTTTATGAGGTAGAGAAAATTACGAAACAAACAACATAATTTAGATATCAGAGAAAATCAATCAAGGCATATAAGTTAATGTTTGGCTATAATTGTGTCAGAGAAATTTTGATTCCAGAGAAAATTTATTAGAAGGGTAGAAATAAACAGTGTTTATCAAAGATGCAAGGCACATAAGTTATGGGCCAGAGAAAATTACACACAAGGAGATAAAATTTTATGCGCCAGAGAAAATTATGAAACAACCAACATAATTCAGATATTAGAGAAAATCAATCAGGGCATATAAGTTAATGTGTTACAATTGTGGTCAGAGAAATTTGGATTGCAAAGAAAATTGATTATAATGGCAGAAATAAACCAGTGGTAATCAAAAAAGAAACATAAATTGATATTTCAGAGAAAATTGATCTCAATCAATCAAGGCACAAGGACGGAAACAAACCAGTGGTCAGAGAAATTTTGGAATTTCACTGAGATTTCATTGACGATAGAAATCTAACCTGTCGAGGTGTAAGAGAGTGGACTAGTGTCTTCTGCAGCTGTTTCGTCAAGCTTTGCAAGTTCCACTTGGCACATCTTGAGAAATCAGTTGTGTTACTGTCTTCCAAGTCAATGATATTTGCATGTTCACATAACCAATACTGTGATGGGAATTAAAGTAATTAAATTTTGCTAAACACGCAAATTTGTAAGTATGATAACTGCAAATTTGAATGGAAATTATACTTACTAGCAATGCAATGACACACCCCGTAACTTTCTCTGGAATTTTATGCAATGCTATGATAGAATCAATCAATGTTGATGTGATTGCTTCTGGCCAATCATACTGTTTCATTGATTCAAGAGGTTCCACATACTTTATAAAAACCCACCACAAATTTGTAAGTATGATAACTGCAAATTTGAATGGAAATTATACTTACTAGCAATGCAATGACACACCCCGGAACTTTCTCTGGAATTTTGTGCAATGCTATGATAGAATCAATCAATGTTGATGTGATTGCTTCTGGCCAATCATACTGTTTCATTGATTCAAGAGGTTCCATATACTTTATAAAAACCCACCATATTGAATTCTCACTTGTTATAAAAAATAGGGTGAGACACAAGTATAATGTAACAATGATTGCTACATCTTTGTAGTCAGTTGGTTGCTTGCCTTTCATTGCTTTGACCAAGGCATTTTTAAGAACAAGACCAGTAAGCCTTGTGTCCTTTGGGAATCTTCTCCTTAGGAATGCAGATTTTGGCTTTTTAGAATATCTTAATGACATGGCTCCTTTATCTCCTTGCAAACCGAAAATCAAGGTCACGTCATTTGTTGTAAAGGTCAAGTTCTTTTTACCAACTGTGAATGCTTTTGTTTTTTCATTGTAACATTGGATTATTGCAACTATATCATCATCAGATTTCCTAGATTTCCTTGGATCCATCCTTCCAGTGGTTAGAGCTTGGATCAAATACCAGAATAGGGTCTTTTGAAGCTCTACAAGTTGATTTAAATTGAATTTAAGTGTTTGAAAAAAGGAGACAACAGATGAGAGATTGGATCGGTATTAAATGCTGTAATGAGCTCTTTTTCTTTAGAGTTTAATAGGTTTTTTCCCAATGAGCTGGAGTCTTTTGAAGTCGGGGTACTCATCTTGATGCTAGTTGCTTCATCACCTTGGACTTGTGTGTTTTGTTAAGGAGTTTGTGGTGTTTTGCTGGTTTTTGATCTTAGATCATAAGAAGACTGAGAGAGTCTCTATTTCTTGCTTGGTGTTTCCGGTGTTTTGCTGCTTTTACGTTTTGTCATTTCTAGACAATGATGAAAACATAAAGATGTCAATATTAAATCCCAGAGAAAATTGAACATGCTAGAGAAAATTGGACATGTCAAAGAAAATTGGACATAAGGGAGAAAACTAAGGTGGCCAGGGAAAATTATAAACGTCAGACAAAATTAGACACTAAAAATTAAATTTTAGAGTACTAATTGTTTTCTTGTGGAATACATCTAGTCACAGAAAATTTTCATTCCTAGAGAAAATCAACAAAGCAACATAAACATGGCAGAGAAATTTTCAATAATTGTTAAAATTACATATAGAAGTAAAATATAGCCAGAGAAAATTGAAAAATGAAACATATATCTAGCAAGCACAGAAAATGAATGACAGAGAAAAGTAAACATAGCAAGCCAAAGAAAATTTCCATTTGACAATTAGCAAGATAAAATAAACAAAGCAACGTAAACATGCCACTCAAAATTACGCAACATTGAAATTAAGAATTGAACAAAATAAACATACCAGAGAAAATTACACATTCCGGAGAAAATTACACATTCTTGAGAAAATTTCCATTCTAGAGAAAATTTCAAGTCCATAATATTAAAATGCCAGAGAAATTTATATACACAACCAGAGAAAATTAAACATGATAGAAACACACAAGGGAGAAAAGTGATGTGGCCAAAGAAAATTATAAATGTGAGAGAAATTTAGACACTGACAAGAGAGTAATAGACATTCCAGAGAAAAATACATATTCTAGAGAAATTTACAAAGCAGAGAAATTTCTAGACAAAATCACATAAACATGTTCAAGAATAAGATCAAAACACAGAGAAATAACTTTTTTTCAAAATAAACATGCTAGAGAAAATTCAAAGAAGAAACATACATTCCAGTCCATAATATTAAAATGCCAGAGAAATTTACATACACAACCAGAGAAAATTAAAAATGATAGAGACACACAAGGGAGGAAAGTGATGTGGTCAGAGAAAATTATAAATACCAGAGAAACTTAGATAGAGACAAGAGAGTAATAGACATTCCAGAAAAAGATAGACATTCCAATTAAAAATACATATCACAGAGAAATTTACAGAGCAGAGAAATTTATAGAAAAAATCACAGAAACATGTTCAAGAATAAGATGAAAACACAGAAAAATAACTTTTTCAAAATAAACATGCCAGAGAAAATTCAAAGAAGAAACATACATCAAGCAAAAATCAGAGAAATTCAAATGCTAGAGAAATTTACAGATAAAATCACACAAACATATTCAAGAATAAGTTCAAAACATAGAGAAATAACTGTTTTCAAATTCATGTAGCTTTTTATTACGAAATTGAAACCCTAATTTATGGAAGGTTAATATAAAATGCAATTAATTGTGTTTCAAGAGAAAATCTAGTTGTATTGTAGAAAAACTTACCAGAGTTAGGATGAAACTTTAATGACGAACTGATATGCCCTGAGATGAAGATGCGACGTGACGAAGATGAACTGAGATGACAATGAACAGTGAAAACGGGGTCAGAGAAATTTATGAGGAATGAATGGGAATGATTTTTGCATAAGATAATGAAACTCTAATGTCGATGGTGAACATGATATTGAAACCCTAATTCTGGTGTTCTCTTGCTCGTGAAGATGGTTGGATGTTTGGAATGGAACTCAGTCGTCGGAGTTCAGTTCAGTTTCAGTGTTGATTTGTGAAGGGTATTTTGGTCCATGAGATAATTAAAAATGCGCGCGATAATAGTTTAGGGACCTGATCCATCACCCCTTTTTTTTGGTGTCCTT